TATTTTGTCTACTGTATGCAGAGCCTCAGAGTAATAAAAGTTAAAGTATTTTATAAAATTTATAATACAACAATAATAAAATCGCCTAATCTCTTTATGCTTGTCACTCGTTATGTCTAGTGGCACCACTACACGAGTGTAACCATGTCACAGACACAGAATCTCTGTGTGAGAATCGCTACATCAATATGGCGGAAAGCAGTCCCCCCCGCACGCTTGAGTTACCATCCCCTCTCGCCTAAACTAGGACTTTAGACTCAGTCCCTCTATTCCTTAGTCCGTGGTCAAATCCATTTGATCCCAAATGGTTGAGCGGTTGTGGAAATATTTGTTTGTCCGCTGCAGCCTTTTTGTCTCTCGCGCAAGGGACGTAGCCGCGTACGTCCGAGAGCGTCTCGATAGGAATCCTCGAGGGTCCATAGATCACAATTAGCGAACGTGGGAAAGGGGGGGGGGCGGACCGAAATTTTCCGCGGCGCGAAATACGCGGGGGGCTCGCGGCGGCGTCGTCGTCGTCTTGCCATTATTCACGATGATATCGCGGCGGCGCGGCGATACCGTCGTTTTCATGCGAAATGACGTTTATCCTAATTGCCCGTCCGGGCGCATTGAACGCACTAAATTTGCGCGGCGCGCGCGGCCCGCTATTAATTACCGGCTGATAATCTCGACTTGTAATTTACAATACGCCGGAGGACGCGACCCTCCGTCGAAAAATCGCGTTCTCTCGTCGAGCGCGACGGGGCAATTCGACCGCGGATGAATCGCGCACGATTAATCGTCGCGATCGCAAATGACTGATGATCGCCGTAATCGGTGACTAATTAACCGGTCGCGTCGCGGAGGAGGCGGCTCGCCTTCTCGAACGGGTTGCTCGATCAATTTGCAACATTTTAATTCCCGAGCATCGACGATGTTAATAATGGATGGCGGCAAAAAGAGAGTAGCGATAGCGTGATCAATCTTTTTCGCTGACGGAGAACGTGCGCCTCGAACTGTTTTACGTCCTCGGGAGAAACGAGTAAAAAGATCGGAGGATCGATCTCTCTTCTCTCGTCTCGAGAGAGGAGTCTCGCGGAGCCGCGTGTGCCTCGAAATAAAAAAAAAAAAAAGAGTCCCGCGCGTGATCTCCTCTCTTGCTGTCGAGCGATCTTTCTCTGTTTCTTTTTTTATTCCTTTTTTTCTGTAATCAACTGTGTACATGTGTTTAATATTTTTATATTGACTCAATGATGTTATTCTGTGGTGCTTTGCATGTCTCTATTGGACTCTGCATGTCGTATAGGGCATCGTAAGTACTTACTTAAATGAACTCATCATGAGACTACGAATACACACGACACTTTTCAGACTCGAATTTTTCGTGCGCCGGTGGGGCGCCGAACGGATTCGCGAATCCATCGGACTCTCGCACGCTCGGCTTCCCGGAGCCTCGGAATCCTCGAAATACCGGCGTCTTGAGTCCCTGGATTCGTGGATCGCCCGATTCCTGGATGTTTCGATTTTTCCGAGCGAAAGACTCTCTCGAAGCCTCGAAAATCCTCGGATTTCGGAATCGCCAGATCTCCGGCTCCTTGGACGAACGAGATCGAGAATTCTTGAATTCTCCGACATCCAGGGATACCGCGGATCGTTTTGATCCTTAAATATTTAGATCCTTGTACACAAATAGTAGAATGATCTACGATCGTCTCTCCACGACGACGTCTGGCCATTTACATAAAAATGCGATCGAGGAATCTCGTTCCGCTGATCCGCTCTGAAAACGTGATACGTCCAAGTGAAATAAACCCGATATTGCCTCGATAAAGCTAAGGACGCCAGATAAAAGGGAACAAAATGATAAAGAAGGATAGAGCGAAACCTAATCGGTGGCAAAAATATACAAAGTAGTAGGTGAAGAAAATTCTAACATTTTAGAAACACAATACTCGCCGAATCTTTTAATCTGTCGAGAAACGGAATTATCTGACCCCAAAATAATTAAGAATCCGCAAAAATATCTCACAGAAAGTTTCACGTCCACCCTCGAAATAGCTCTGTCTTGAGATGTATTTCTGGTCAACAAGCACAACTTTGCCGACATACGTATACAGCTTCACGGTTCGATGCTCTGAATATAAAAGAACGGAGCGACGAGAAAAAGCAGAGGAACGAGCCTTCGCCGATCGATACGATTTCAAGATAATGAAGAGAGAGCTCTCTTCCTCTCCTCTTAATCTTTCGCCTCACGGGCGAGCTTCGTCGCGCGCTTCTCGCCCCCTTACATTTTTATTAATTTATCCCTGCGTAGGAAGCCCTAGCAGTAGCGATGTATCGTTATTAAACTCACTCGTTCGGATAGATAGCTTGGCTAACGACCGCCGATCGATTTCCTTTACGATTTTTTCTCCCCTTTTGCACGCCCTCTCCGCCCCCTCTTTCTATCTCTTTTTTTCTATCGGTAATATTTTTTTTATCCTTCCTTTCTACCTCCCTGTCAATATTTTTCTCCCGCAAGGCCCCTGGTTAATCCTCCCTTTCGTTACTTCCTTCTGGCTTTGCACCAGCCTCAAACCTCGAACCTGCAAAAGAGAGATTAACGAGGGACGAGCAAAAAAGAAACGAGAGAGAGTGAAAAGGAAGGCGAAATAAATAAGAAGGAGGACGGGTGGGAGAGAGTTTGTGCCGCGAGTGAAATGCCGACGGCATTCCGGCAGACGCGGGCGAGGGGAGAAATGACTTCCGTCGATTTTTCCCATGCGAGAGTCCATGTTGTTCTAACCCACGGCTGCGTAAATTCCCCATCCTTTTAGTAATATTACATGACTAGTGAGAATTGTGCAATTTCGCACGTGCCGAGGAAAGTACGATTATTGAAGTCGAGAATTTTTCCCGGGCAAACACGCGGGTTTTCAAATATTTCCCTCGGAATTTTCCCACTCCACTTTTTGATTTTAATATTATAATGAGTATTCGTTCAACACGCAGGAGCTGTAATACTTGTTCAAATACAGAAAGATCCACGGATATACCAACTTCTCCCTTTTGTTTGTCGAAATCAAGAGCATTTAAAATAATTTGCCGACACGACGATCGGATTTCGCGTAATCTATTTTTGGTTTTTTTTCCAACTCGTCCTTCGCCGAAAATGCTCCTTTTTGCCCTCTTTTTCGGCCATTCTCTCTCATTAAACTCGTCGATGAACCACCGAGAACCACGTCGAAACTGCGGGCGTCGTGAATAGCTAACTGCTGCCTCGTTAATTACCTTTCCGTTTTTTTCACTTATGGTGTAATCCGATTCGACAGGAGTTATACGGGAAAACAAAGGTGTCCGTGTTGGCTCTTGTTATTTTTCAACCTCGACATTTTTGAAATCTTTGAATTTTTTTGCGATATTTCATAAACTGTATCTTTTTCGATAACACTTTTTGCGATTCTCTCATCTTTTGCAGCTTTAAAAAGGTGGTATCTATTTTCAAAGCATTTCCTGTCGAATTACAGATTTTTTTCAATATATTACTTCATAATGTACATTCTGCGTTAAAAAAAGTCAAGTCTGAGAGTGAAAAATTCCAGATTAAAAACCAAAAAGAAAATAGCGCATTTATTATTAAAACGATCACTTGTCAAGTTATCTTCCGTTTCGCTTACTTCTATTTTTCCACATCTTCGAGACTTATTTTTAATGGGATTATTAGATGATGCAAACAGAGGCGAATTAACAATTCCCGATGACATTTTGTAGGATAGCATTAACACGATGCGATGTGTTCGCTTCAACATTTCTAAATAAGGACGCTGGTATCTCGGTGTGCGTATTTTCATCGTGATTATGATGTGCTCGGTATTGACACGTCGCACTACACAACGCATCAACGGATATCGTTATCTGGGCCTTCTTGTATGGAAAAATCGCAAAATCACGCGACACGAGTCCAAATTTATCTGCTCACCTTCTATTAATTATTTACACGTTCCGTTGCCTCTCTTTTGAGTTGTTCTGTAATTATTTGAATATTATTTACTTTTTCGGTTTTTTTTCAAACAACTCCCAAAATTTGGTCGCATGATTTTCCGCCGGTCCGTACGAGAAGTGCATTCGGCACTCCGAGTGATTCGGACGGGGAGCATAAATTATGTGTGTCACGTAATGTTGCCACTTCCATGAACCGCTAACAGTCACGTCCTAGTCACTGGCTTTCTTTTTCTTTATAACTTGTCTCCTCCCCCATAAGTAATTCATTTTGTCTCTTCCTCGCGGCGCGAGTCGCACAGAGCTTCAAGTTCGTTACGCCGGGCTAATTGCGACGGTTCCATTCTCGCGACCGACCCTTTGAATTTCAAGTATCTTTCTCTTTTAAATGATCCCTCTGGCATCCCTCGGCGTTCTTCCAACGCGATCCTTGCCTCCGCGAAAAGTTTCATATTTTTCCGGGATCGTATTTGCGGATGTTTTTGTCATATTAGACGCGCGCCTACAGAGCGTTCAGTGTTAATCAATTCTGCAAGCTCTGTTCAAGAATTTCGGTGCGGTTCGCAGAAAATGACAAGCGGTCAAACGTACGAGAATCAATCTGCGGAAATTCATGGAGACACCCGAGTGCGTAACGAGAACTTGAAAGTTTGTTTCGTGAGATCCGCGCCGCTCGCTCTCTCTCTCTCTCTCTCTTACCGTCCAACTTTTCCGGAACTTTCCTTATTTTTCCCGCTTTCCGTGTTTCCTTCTGCAGAGAGTTAACGTCGTCCAGATTTCGGCACGGTTCATGTAAATTCCGTTACGCTTCAGTCTGTAAAGAAAGCCGCTCTCTTTCCTCTCCCGCCTGATTAACGGCGTAATGGAACGTTGATAACTTTGGGCCGAAGTTGGACGGACCCTTCCACCCCTCATAACTAATCTCGGCGTCGTTTCTTTCCCCTCTCACTCCTCGCGCTACTCTCATTTGTGTTTTGTTTCTCCCCCCCTCCGAAACACCGGCTCCTCGGTAGAATCGAGGCGCGGCGAGCGCTGTGTAACCAATCGACAGAAATCTTTTCTCTTCGTGTAGGAGAAGGAGGACGGGCCGGTGTTCAAGTTTTACGAGCTCATCCGCGATTACGGGGAGAACATCATGAACATCATGAGCATGAACGCGAATCGGCCGCAATACGGCAGCGTGGATCACGGCGTCACCCTCTTCGCGCCCAACAACGAGGCGCTCGAGCAGATGAGCGTGAAGCAGATTCTGCAGGACAAAAGGCGCATCAAGGAGATCCTCGAGCTGCACTTCGTCAGGGAGAAGCTGTCCCTCGACATGATCAAGAACAGGAGCATCAGCCTGGTAAGTTTATCCCTCCCTTCGTCTACGACGAGAAAATTAGCGAATAACAATACCGGTGTAATATTTATATCACTGAATTGCTAATAATGTTGCAAGCTTCGATTTGACAGCGCGATTTTCTCTTCCATCTTTTTGACGGACAAATGAATAACAGACGTGGATGTAAAAGTAATATTGGTTCACTTTAAAAGAATACGTCTCCGGCGTATTCTCGCTGAAAACGTAGCGCGCACGTCAATTGCACGGGTATATTATCGCACTAATTAACCCAACGTTCCTCTTTTTTTTGTTTCACCAAAGAAATCATCTGCAAGCGGGAAGCAACAGCTCGGGGTAATTACAGATTCATACAGCTTTTCAGTGTTTTGTGCGTAAAACTGTTCGCAAAACTCTCCATCTGCATCCATTTGCACTGTCCGCTTTCATGCGTTTTTCGACGCGTTCAACGTATTACGGGCGCGAATGCGGAGCTAACATTTCCAACGCTAACGCGGCCGCGCCGGGCATTCGGCAATCGATAGCGTCAATAAATCTCGCGCCGCCAATAGCTTTAGTAATCGAACGCCAAAGAGATTTCTATTCTTGCCGCAATACACGATATACGAGGTGATCGGAAAGTCGCAGTGAAATCTAACAAGCGACATTTGACGCGCCGGCACTTGGCGGCGATTGGCAATTTTTATTTCGCCCAATTCCGTCTCTTTTTAAACTTTCTCTCTCTCTCTCTCTCTCTCTCTCTCTCTCTCTCTCTCTCTCTCTCTCTCTCTCTCTTTGGAACGTTCTCCGATTACACAGATGTCGCGCGACACTCGTACACTCGATAAGAAGTTTGACTTTTTCGTCACCGCGTGTGCCGATGTTCGCGCGATCCGAATAAAATTGCGGAAAGATTCGACGGCCTGCGAAATGGATTTCTGCCGTTTCGTCGGCGGCCCGATGTAACGATAATTGCATATTTTCGCGGGGACGCCGAGCTTCCTTCCCACGCGGACGGCGAAACGAAAGCGAACTCACCTGGGCCGGCGCGATAAGGAAACTTGGGCTTCCTCCGGATTAAGTGGATTGGAAGATAAAAAGTTTCACGGGAGGAGACGTCTGACGTCATAACAACGCGCCAGAGCTGTTCCGCTCTTAAACTTTGCTCGAAGTCGACCGGCACGCCGGTTCGTTTTCGCACTTTTCGAGGCTCATTATCATCCAATCAGCATGGCGGAACTTTTCGTCGGAATAACAAAAAGCTCTCGGCAATTTTCCGCCGACTCCCGCTTTCCCCTCCCCTCTTTCCCTCTCGCATTTGCCTTCCGCTTATTTTTACAACGTCGAGAACGTCTTTATTCAGCGAAATTGCGAGCACTGCAATTTTTCCTTCATTTTAAATGTTGCTTCATATTTGCCGCAATCGTGCGTGAGTTTTTATTTCCCCGTTGGCTAAATAAATCGTTGTTGCTAATTATTTATTGACTCAGTACATCGCCAATTACATGTTTGTAATTACTTGAACGTCTTGAGCGAAACTTTTACTCGTTCTTTTTACACCGACATTTTATAAATATCAAACCGTGCATTATTTATCCTTGGAAATATCATACATTTTTATCACAAAATGTATGGAATGTTTATCTCTCATATAAATAATTAATATCGTTTGATGTAAAATTGAAACAATTTTTTTCAATTTTTGAGATCAAACGTCGATATAAAATTTTCTATTAAAGTTACTCGCACAGCTATTAACTCTTTTTTAAACGCAAACTACATTATGTAAATACGCGCAGTTTCCGCAATGAATGCCAAATAAAACTCACAATTTGGAAGTGAATATCGCGAGAACTAATCGGTATTGCGAAAAAAAAGAGCAACAATGAAACTCGATTCGATTTTACGTCCCTTTTTTAAGAGTGGGAAATTGCATGTACAATGTCGTTATCCTCTTTATCAATCATATTCGTCGCAGAGCATTTTCCGCGCGGCCGAAAGCGTCTCGTTAGCGCACGCGAGAACTCAATTACAGCAAGAATCAGCAAATATCATAATCGCGATGCGCCGGTAAAATCAACAGAGAGACGCAATCGCTCACGCTTGATCGTGCCGCACCGACGTGACGCGCGCAATTCATTATATTAATCTTATTGTTATTAGCGGCATCCACTGCCGCGTTCGTGCGTAATGGAGAAATATCCGGCGGGCGGGCGTGAAGCGAAAAAGAGGCGCGTGCGGCGCGCGCTCTTTTTGCGGTACGCATGAATTTTTGGAGCGCGCGCGGCAGAAAGAGAAGGACAGCTGGAATAATTCTCGCGCAAAGCCGATAAATTCCTTCCTGAAACGCTCTCGAATGGATGCGAACAAGTTTATTGGCTTTGCAACATTGTTTGCAGATTTGCCCGTTATCTATACGCACTGCCGAATTTATAGGGTGTCGCCGGTGCGACGCATCTCGCAAATCCGCGGTGAAAAATCATACCCGGCCGATTGCGCCTACGGGATTGTACATACACACACGTGTATACAAAAAAAAAACAGGTGAAACAAAAGTGGGGAGAGAGAGAGAGAGAGAGAGAGAGAATCCCAGGCAAATCGCATCACGCAAATGTTCGGTCGGAAAATACGCCGGCGTGGAATTGCGATGGAAATTCTCGCGCGGTATCAGGTTGCAATTTTCAAACAAGCGAACGTAATATCGGTATCGGATATATTAATTCTTGCCCCTAATATTCATGCGATATTGTAAAAAAGCGCCGCCAGTTCTCCGACTAAACAGCTTTTAATCCGTGATCGAAATTTTCTCGAAAAAAGAAAAAATCTCCGAATTAATTGAAGAACTTATCATTAAAATTAATTCAGCGATTGCTAAATTTGATCGTTAAGCTTTCCGTGAATATATCTCGTCGCAAATTTGCTCCTGTAAAGTATTTTTGCGATTTTTTAAATTCAAATTAATTCTGCTGTAATTATAATGATCTTAAACAACGGTACAAAGAGACTGTCGGGCAGAATAACGTAGCGTCACTCGGACTCCGCGAAACTTGTGCGAATGCCTGGAAACTGATAATGTTTAATATCCGGCGGGAAAACTACGCGGGACGGAAGAAACGCGTCCTATGTTTTCCAAACGTTTCCCTTCCGACGCCCAACGGTCTTCACTTCCTACATTTCTACGTATACGTCTGCGCGATCGACCACGGAATTCACAGCCGGTTACATTTCCGCTGTAATATGTATTATCTCGAAACTCTCTCGCGTCGCGCCGCGGTTCTTTTCGGTTCAAGTTTCCGGAACTTGCATCCAGATGGTCGCGAGAATTCGATTTCGACGCACAAACCCTGGCGACGACTGAGAGAGAGGATTCTTTTCTCCGGAAACGCTGCCGGATCAATCGATTGCGAGGGCAATCTAATTCGTTTCTCCGTTTCCGAGCTTGAAATAACAATGAATATTAATGCGCTCGGCTCGCGAAATGTGAATCGATGGGATAAAGTTCGCGACGCGTCACGCAGACACGCTGCGTCTTCGCGGGAGGAAGTTCACATCGCGAGAAACTCTCCGCGATGTGCAACGAGCTTGCGATCGCGGGCAAAAAATATGTTCGCATTAAAGACAAGCGGGAAACATTGCGGACATTTCCTTTCTAAATTGCGCAATTGTTCCCGCCGATCGTCGGTCTCGGTCGATCGATCGCGGCTTCGGGTCTGCGGATACCGCCGGAAACCCAGCCGCTGGAACGCTCCAATGAATGATCGGACGAAACTAGCGTTTTCAACGCGGTAACGCGCGCGCATTAATTTTCCAGTCGAATCGAATTCGTGGGAAAGCACCGCGCGCGGTGACTTACGAGCTCGACGATGGCCGGCGAGAGTGCCAGAGCGCGCGGTCGTTTCGGCAAAATTAATAATTGCAACTAACGCGACGACTACAAATCTATCTCGCTATCATGCGCTACCACTCACCGGAGTATCTCGATCGCGCCGCGCGCACGCTCGCATCGTCAATTTCCCGAGCCATGAACGCAATTACGCGAAATCTCCGATACAGCTAATTACACTTCAATATCCATCGAGCGGCTTCAATCATTCAGCAGCGCCGATACAGGATGTTGGCTTTAATTACTTCGTCTCGTTAATAAATTAACGTTTGATCAGTATAAATAAACATTCGGCCGGACGAACGGTAAAAAGACACGATGACGGCTGGTAAACGTCACGCAAATCGCTGCCGCGTTTTCACCGCGTAAAGTGATCGAGAAGTCAGCATTCTGACGGACGTGCGTTCCGGTTCTTTCGAATCCGCGCGCGAGTCTCCGCGGAAAAAAGGAGGTGAGAAATCGCGACGAAACGATTCGATTTAATATCCGTTTCGCTTCCGATGGCGCGCGGAGAGTGCGATAGGTCGAGGCGGCATTGTTAATTAATTTACGAATGGATTATCATAAAAGCGCCTTACGAACAGGTGCGCTAATACCGATTCGCTAATTGCTGGTAGTTACGGCGCATCGATCGGTAATATCGCCGTTATTTACTGCGCGCACGCTGCACGGACGTGCGTACCAATATTGACTCGGTCGAGCCTCATGCAGTACGCAATGGTGTATATATTAATCATGGTAAACAAAGGGTAAATCGCCCTTAATCGAGAACAACGCAGTTTCTGCGCGGCGTGACATTTTCGCATGGCCGCCACCGCGTGACCGAACGTTGATCAGAATGTTTCGAGCCCTTCGTCCGTGCGTCGTGCCGATACTTGGTTGCTTCTTCGAAACCATTTCGGTCGAACCAATTTTTTATAAAAAAAATAACGAGACGTATCACCGGCGTCTATTGCGATCGCTTCCGACGAGAGAGGAAAAAAGTAATACCTTATACTCGCGACAAGACCAATTTGCATTAAGCCACGCGCGTCCGGGTCGAAAGAGAAAATAATTAATAACCCGCGTCCGAGAATACGATAAGCGAACACTCCCCACGGAAAAATATGCCGTGCATCATCACACGCACGCCGCACCGCGCGATGCCACCCGCACGTTGCGCCAGACATACGCGCGTTTCTTCCTGTATTATTTTTTTTTTTTTTTGTCCAGTCTGATTTGCATTAAGCACCGCACGCACCGGCGTACCCTTCGCTACTAATTTATCGCCGAGATATGTTTTACACCGCTTTCATGCTTTATATCCCCCCTGCCTGTGTGCACGCCTCGAAAGAGCCACTCGTACACTGATGAAATGATAAAGCACTCCCGAAAGAGACGGGCACCGCGAAACGTGTCGGGCGCGCCACGGGCGTAAAATTCAATTTTATTCGCGATATCGCTGCGGAACTACTCCTCTTCCACGTATCCTTCCACCTCTTTCTGCGCAGCTTCCGCTCCATATTCATAGTTTAGCTTTGCATTATTTAAAGTATTAGTTTAAATATTGTCCCGGCATGCGGGTCATTGATCCGACGTATTCGCAGACGAATGTCGCTTAAAAAATCATTGCGAGTCTAGTCGTCGTTAAAGAACTGGTAAATATTTTTGGAGCGAAGCCGCTCCGCAATTTTGCGCATGCGACTTTTCGGACTTGAAATTCCAGATTTGCATTCGCGCTTTAATTACGTAATCGCAAAATAATCAGTTTTCTATTCAGATTCCTTGAGAAATTTAACTCGCCGAGATCCGACATTAATGAAATACATATATAAGTTTTGCGCGGATTTAGAGCGAGTCTAGAAAGTTAAATCAACTTCAATCTCCCTCGCCGCGTCCGCTTTTCTTTTTCTATTTGAGTGCCGCGATTTATTCCGTTACGGCCCCATACATTCATAATTAATTTATTCGACATCTTTCCCCGCGCAAATAAAACTTCCGTCGTAATTTTACGGACGGCTAATTGATAACGGCGAACGTCGAAAAGGTCGAACGACCGCGGATAAGAAATTAATTGCTCAGGCGTATCGGAAGAACCGGGCGGCTATCAAGAGCGATCATGGAATACTTAAAAGTCTCCTTATTCCTCAATAAAATTAAAAGCGTTTTACCTTAAACCGGAAAACAGCTTAAAACTCTAATTGATTAACGAGGAGCAGAGAGCGTCTTTCATTTGTCTGCGGAATATTTCTGCTAAAACTGCGAGGTAATTCGTGAAATAAATTTTTATGAATACTTTCAGAGTCAAAGCGGATCGGTGAAACTTGAATATATTTTCGGTTTCGAAAAATTATAGCGTACGAAGGTTCAATCGGGTATTTAGATTCCAAGAATTCGAAATCTAAAGATGCGTTCTCTGCGTTCCTCGGATCTTTTTATTCCGAGATACTCTTCCGAATCTCTCCCAGGCTTTACATCGAAATGTCGCCGAGACAAAATCGCCGTCAAATTCAACGTGCACTCCTGCGGTACACACATTTTTTCGCGACACCCCGTGCGCACTATCTTAGCCTCTCGGCGGGGGATTCCGGGCGCGAATAAACGTCAGGAAAGTAACCGGAAGTGGCTCTGAGTGCACGCCGGGAAATTCATGAGAGCTGGATCAGCCCCGGAAAAGGAATCGTCGGCGCTCTCCGTGCCGAGCTTTCCATCCCGACATCAGCGACGAAGCGAATGAGAGGAGAGAAAGATAGGCGAGGGGGGGATGGCGTAGAGGGCGCCGATTTGCAATCCGGACGATATTTGCAAGTTAAAAGCTCGCACTGTCGGCAGGAGCGCGACGCACACCGCATCGTCTGGATAATCCTGGATCGAAGGGATCCGTTTCGCTCGGCGTGATCGCGCGCCGAAATCCCGTCCCGGCTGTCTCTTAAAAACTTCAGGCGGTCGGTCGTCCGCCGAGCGTTCACGCGCCGCTCCGGCCGCGCGATTATGCAATCTTCTCCCGGAAATTGCCGCGCTAATGGTTTTCCTTTGACGTCGCGTCGTAATTGCGAAATAATCAACATGTTACTTTGAAAAGACGGTTCATTTCTCACGCGTGTCCATTTTTTCCGCGGGTCTTCAAAGGCGGACGCGTCGCGGCCTTTATTCCGCGATGACTGCGGCAAATTATTTCATCGAGATAAGGCGGGCCACAATAGTGGGAACGCGATTAGCCTAAGCGACGGTCCGAAACGTGACTCGAATGTCCTTTACAGGGTTTCGGATTATTCGGATCCTCGACGTCCCGCGATGTTTATCAACGCGAGATGTAGTGCGCACACAAAAATCGTAACTCGCCGCGCGACAAACTTGCGCTTAATCTAATGTCGGAACTTTGCTTCTTCATTCTATTTCCGCTTGTATGGAGAACTTTCGAGCACGCGGGAACGCACGTAACTTTTAATTTTCGTAACTATTAATCCCTTCCTTCGACTGTGACTAAGTACTTTAAAATATGTGTGTGATGTGATAACTTTTCCGTGTTTGTGCATGAAATCAACTTGCAATCCTTCGAAGGCGAGTGCGAGTCTCGCTATTTTGTTTTAAATTCATTTTCTAAAGGTTGTGCGAATTATTGACAATCTTTCTCGACAAATTATTCTTCGAGCTCGAAAAAACTGCTCGATTCGACGCGTGTCTTCGAAGGATTGGCTCGCGTGTGCAGCATCCCTTCTTCTGCTCAAAGAAAAAGAGTTACTCGCATTCTTACTCGTCTCTGTTGTATCATCTGTCGCCGCTCGCGCGGCAATTTTAACACATAATGTAACTCTTTTAAAGCTTTTAAGGCGGAGACTGGTGGCTAGCGCGCACGTTCAAGTACCGTATAGCAAACATTCCTTCGGATCTTGGCCCGAATTCTTACAGGTACAGACCGTGGCCCAGAAGAAGAAGCTCTACTTCAACGTGGCGCAGGGGCCGAACGGCGAGCAGATCGTCACCGTGGAGGGCGGCGGCGTGAACGCCACCATCGTCACCGACAACATCGCCGCCACCAACGGATACGTTCACATAATCAACAGGGTTCTCGGGGTGCCGTACACCACCGTGCTCGACAAACTCAGATCCGACCCGATGCTTAAGTGAGTTCTTCCCTTCTTCATCTTTATTCATCTTTATGCAAAGCGGCTCCGATCGCCGGCCTCTTCGCGAGAGACCCCGGACATCGCATCTCGTTACGTCGGAAGGAAAAAAGAGCAGAAGCGCACGCTAGAATGAGATGCGCACCCCTTTTTACCTACAAATATAGATTTTATTTCATTGCTCGAGGCGCGTTTAATGCGTTCGAGTTTCTCGTTTCCACGTGCATTCCGACAATGTGAGGAGAAATTATGTAAATCGTCGCTACGTATTCCCTTCTCCCGTCGGAATCAAATACTCCGAATTCGGATTCTAGCCGCGCGGCGAATGCGATCCTTCCTCCGCGAGCGGAATATCGCTCTCGTCGATAATCGCGAGGACGTTCTTCAGTACACGTGGGCGCGGCTACAAGCTTAGATACGATCGCGCCTTATCCACCTTCGGAAAGGGAATCTTATCCGCTCGTGATCCCGACGAACTTTCCTCCCGCGTCACTCGCTCCCGTCCCCGACGCTCGGCCGCCGCTCTCTCTCGTTCGAATTTAATTAAAATAACGCAACAAATCCCCATTCCAATTACCTCGTATAACTTCGTAT